AGTGAACAGGAGTTATTTGAGATCGGTTCAATCATCACTTTGTGATGGAAAGGAGCTACTGCTGCTTCATGATCCAGAACAGCAGCTTGTTCAGTCATGGATGGAGAGTTCAGCCAGGTGGATTTCAAGGTAAAGATGGTGAACCAGAAAACGGGTCAAACTTAAAAGCTTCTAAGAAGCTGTGTTGAGCTGCAAAATAAACCATTACAGCATGGCAGACTGGCAGTTTTTTAAATGTCGAACCTATTTTATATAATCTGTCTACAGGCAGTGAAATGTCCTTGCTGCTTTATGTTTTGTAGGTTAAAGTTTTAATGAATGGATTTGAATAAAACTCCCATAAAGTAACCATTGGATGTACATCTACAGCTGATTAACCTTTGAAGTTAACTTGATTCAAGATGGCCACTGCAGGTGATTGACCTTAACGAGGACAAACAAGGGTTTAACTCAGCTTTACAGATAGTGTAGTAAAATTTGGTGTGGTAGTAGAAGAGAGTCATACCAGCGCACACTTTGAGTGCTTATATATTGCATTGGAATGCATTAGCTTGATGCTCGGAAGTAGGTTTATCAGTGGCAAACCGCGACTACAAGAGCTAGATCTTGAGTTAGGATTTGTTATTGTTGCAACGGTCTGCTTGCACTAGTTTACTTTTAGTTTCACGATCCATGAACTCACTGAACAGGAAGTGCCTTTCCCCTTTTTTATACATCTAATAGGCCTGTCACGATAGCAAATTTAATTGGGCGATTAATTGTCTTAGAAATTATTGCGATAAATGATATTGTTTGAAATTTGACAATAATTAGTAATTATTGACAAATTTAAGAAAAAATGTTGGATAATTTGTTTTGTTTGTAGTACATTTTTTGACCACTGGATGGCAGTATAAGGCTGTTTGAACCAAAGGATGGATAGTGAGGGAGCGAGCGGCGTGTCTCTTTAAGAAAAATGAGAGGGAGGCCCCTTGACGTGTCATGGGCTGTCTCTCGTTCCTGTTTTTCGGTTCTCAAAATGGCAGATGCATGGTGTGGTTTGAACTCTTTAGCATAGCATTTTTCACACAAAGATTTGATAAAAATAAAAAATAAAAATCAGTAAACAAAGTTCTCAGCTTCTTTTTGCAGAGAAAACCAACTTTTTAGATGAAGACACGGCTTTCAATCATGAATTTTGGAGCTTTGACAAGACAGAGTTTTTTTCTGTTAGCTTAGCTTCTCAGCTTAGCTGTTTTTAACGATCCAAAAACTTGATTTTCGACGGTTGAAATGGATTTTAACGAGAAAGGGAGGGATCAGTGAAGAGCACCGGAGTTGAGGCTTTTGTCTTCCAGTGTCTTCGGTAGAAAGAGAGAGACATGAAGAAACGATAAAGACGATAAATGAAAATGAGGTCGATAATTTTCATTTATCGTGCGATTAATTGATTTATTGTTTTTCACGACGGGCCTAACGTCTAGTACAACATTTGACCTCTAGCGTCGTTTGTTACAGTCATAATAACAACCTGAACATAAATGCTAACCCAACACTAGACAGAGAAAAGCCAACAAAGACATCCCATCTGGACACTCCATTTCTGGATTGCCCAGAAGGCCGTGCAGCTCGCACAGTCTGTTGCGTTCAAGTACAACATGCAGTTTCAATAATGCAGACGAAAATTCAACAGCAGGCTACAGAAAGTGCTGTTTCTGTAAAAATTTTAATCATGGAATGAAATCAAAATACAATTTTAATATTAAATGTGATATTTAACTTTTTATTTTTAGAAAGAAACTACAATTTCAGTGGATTTTTTTGAGTTACAAATTGCAACTGAATGCATCACAAAGCCTTCCCGAAGGCTCAGAGCACCGTGTTTTGATCCCACCCACTCTACATGTACATTGTGATTGGTTAATTTTCTTGTCAGTTATTAAACCAACTCATCTTGCAGAGACTTTGACTCGGCTGTGCCTTCTCTCCTGACAGCGAAGTCCTAACCAATGAGAGCTCTTTTAAACATACTTCTACCTAGAGACACAAATTCAAATGAATCTGAATGGATAACTGTATTTTCATGAATAAAAATGTTTCTTGATCGACTGTAAAGTAGATTATACTACATATTTTATATAAAATAAATGTAAATGCAAATTTCATATGTGCTGAATTCTTAAGCCTTCTGAAAAAGAGAGTGCACAGGGTGTGGGTGTGAGGAGTGAGGGAGGGAGCCTGTGTCCGAACGCTCTGAGTCAGAGTCGGAGCACACGACCACGGCAGTAAAAATGAGCTGCAAATCGTTAATTTCCAGCTGCAGTGACCGCCATAAATGCTACAACTTTTCAGTTCAAAAGCCTGAGTGTGTGAGTCTGTTCCCCCAAAATAAAATAAATAAATAAATAAAGGGGGGGTTTAACCTTAAAACAGGCCCCATCATCATTGAAAATTATGGCAGCAGAGAATAAAGTGTTCTGTCACAGTTATGTAAAAGTGTAAAGAAATTAAAGCTAGGCTTAGAAAACTGAGTTAAAATACGAAATATGTTTTTATTTTATTCTCACTATGGTTTTGTGAGCCTGCATTTCCAGTAATGTCATAAAAAGCTTTTATTGCAGCTGCTTGATAAACAAACATTTTACTCTGTTACACATCTGACATCTTTTGTGTCGAGGTTTAGGTTTAGGCTGCTCATTGAAGGCAGACAGTGTCATTTTTACACAATTAACAGTAACTTTGCTTTTTTAAATATATGATTTTGCTGTTGCAGAGTCTTATTCATTTTAAGCTCAGTTTATTCATGAGTGAAAACAAAGTCACTAATTTTGCTTAAGGCGTAAGAAGTAGCAAAGTTTATGAAGTTTAAGTAAGATTTTCTTATAAAATGCAGCTTTACTGTCATATATTCACAAACAAAGGTTAAAAGATGAACAGAACCATTTCATTTGGCTGTGAGTTATATAAAACATTTTTAATTGGATTTGCTTATCACCAGTTTTTCTGAACCTTTGATCTCATGTAAAAATCATCTTTCAGTATTAACCTTAAAAATCCCTGAGCTAGGCACGTAGTAATTTACTGTGACTTAACGTTTCTCCATGACGTAAATCCGAGGTTCAGCTTTTGATGGCACCACGGAGTAATTTATAGGACCGTACTTGCCGCCGTACACGTCGCATCAGTCCAAATATGTCTAATAAAGTGGAAAAAACATAAATAAGTTGCTTCGCCGTATACGTCGCATATATTATGCTTCACCGCTGACCACCCAGAAACATGGGACTGTGTTGTGCCAAAAATCGATTGGCTGCCAAATGGCAGCTGCGGGAGCGTGCACGGGAGTACTTTAACAAGAATTTAACAAGATTAACACTTAAAAACAATTATTTGTTTGCTCAAAATTATAGCAAAGGTGTCTCAGTCTAACATTTCCTTAATAAATGCACTATATTGGTCAAATCAGCTGCATTTCAAAAATCGATTTGCGGAAGCGATAGCGTGCAGATGGAGGACTCGCTGTGCATTTTTTCGAAATTTAACAAGATAACCACCTAAAAACAATTATTTGTTTGCTCAAAATTATAGCAAAGGTGTCTCAGTTTAACTTTTCCTTAATGAATGCACTTTAACGGTCAAATCTGTTGCATTTTGCCTGGGCGGCGTGGTGAAATGCAGTTGATTTGACGTTTGCTCCAGGAGTTCCGGAGCGAGACAAAGGTGGCTTGTATGGCAAGCCAGGTGTCTCATTAATAGCCACTTTTACCTATTAATGAGACACTTGGCTTGCCATATTGGTCGAGTGCCCTCTAGCGGCTGAAAATGGTAATGTTCAATATTTTCCATGTCAGAATGAATGAAATCGTCAGATCTCAGCCAAAAATTGTGTTATTGAAAAAAGTTTAAGACAAAAACAGCCGGACTTTATTTGGAACAGTACACGTTTCGCTTCTTATCCGAGAAGCTTACTTAGTTCAAAGAACAAGGGAGTGTGGGGTTTGAGTTATAAAGCTGAGGTAAGATACATACATACATATGCGGATTGACCTGTCACACCTCACAGTAGGGGTTTGTTAAGGTCTTTGTTAATCTTAATTCAAAGATGGGCCATGGCATTCCTGATAGATGTGAAACTGGCTGGGTATCCGCCCTAAAGCTGCATTAAAAGTTTTTGAAAGTTGAAATCTGAGACTTCTTCCTCTGTTTAAAGATCTCTTTTTACATAAATTGCTTCCTTCACCCCCCTCTCAAGAATTTGGTTATAAATATAGGTTAAAAACGTGTATTAGTCGCTTTGGTGCATAAGTCACAGGACTTACAAATTTATGCAAAAAGGTGCGATTTATACAGCAAAAAATACGGTAACCTTTCTAATATGATGTCGGTAAAAGTGGGTATTAAAGGAATGCTTCTGTGTCACTTGAAGATTTTATGAATAGTCAGTGTTTTACTTGCAGAGAGCAAGCCGAGCTACCTCAGTTTGGAGAATCAAAGAGAAATTCTCATGAGCAGCTTCTGACGTTTGTTTCCTTGTTGAATGGCTCCTGCTCCGAGTAGCTTTTAGCTTGGCACCGCGTGAGAATCTCTGTTTCTCCAAACTGAGCTGCCTGCACCACTGCAGATACAATACTACCCACAGGTAGCCCACTTCAAAGAAACCAAAGTGTCTGTTTAATGTGCACGGAGAAGTGTGTTTGACACACACAAAGAGGGCTGCGTTAAAAATATCCAGCAGGATTTGTTGAATGGGAGGTGAGAAATTTCAAGTCGTGTCTGTTTATGGCGTCACGTTTCCCACTCCTCTGGTTCGTACGCCTTCGTTTGAAGTCTCGTGACTCTGTCCCACACTTTTGAAGTTTGCGCTCCTGGAAAATTAAAAAGGTTTCGCCGGTAAATGAGGATGAGGACATAAAACAAAATGAGGACGATGATAATGATAAATGGTGCGAAAACTGTTTTCCCCTCCACTGTCTCTCATAACTTTTTAACCGTCCTTCTGTTTCTTTCTTTCTTTTTTCCAGGTACTTTGTGTTGGACCCAGAGCTAGGCCAGTTGCAGTACTTTGTCAACGAGCAGGGGAAGAACCAGAAGCCCAGAGGGTGCCTGCCTCTGATCGGTGCCTCGGTAACAACGAGCGATGAAGCTTCCTACATGTTCATCGTAAACTCTGTCAACGGGGAGCTGTACAAACTCCGAGGTACGACCTCCAGCTGCCTGTGTGTGGTATAAATCACATCCAGTGTAGTGTGTGTGTGTAACATTGTGCTGACAAAGACAGGGAATTACCGTATTTTCTGGACTATAGAGCACACCCGAATATAAGCCACGCACACTAAATAAAAAATAAAAACAATTTTGTATACATAGCCGTGGATGTTCACATTGTAACTTGATATATTTACACAGAAATATATATATTTTTAACTTTTAATTAAATATGTACCAGTAACGTACACCGATACGTACAGTAAATGTTTTTTTTTTCCTGAACAATGCCTTTAACACAGCTGGTTAAAATAAAAAATGCAGTAGTTTACCAGGAAAAGTCACTGATCGCTATGAGCATCTTCCTCTTGTTCACTAAAACCAGGGCCAGATTAACTCTTCGCTGTACCCTGGGCAACAGTCTTCAAGGGCCCCATCATCACAACCCCAGAATCACCATAATCTGGCATTCAGACTAAATTACCATAATACACAGTAAATATACTTAAAATTCTAAATATCAAGTGTATTTCTATGTATTAAAATCCAAATGCTCATAGAATGCTACTATGTCCTCTTGTTAATGCAAATCATCAAGACTGAGTTAAGTTGAACTCACTTTGAACACCCTATGACACCATGTGTACTTGTTTAGCAACGTGTTGGCCACTGGTGTCAGAAGCATTTGTAATGTGGGGGGACACACCGATGGTGGTGGGGGGTGGGGGTGTCAGGGGGTCCTCCCCCAGAAAATTTTGAATAAAGTAGATGCCATTTCCTGCATTCTGGTGTATTTTAACGGTTGTTTAACATCTATTTTTACCTACATAAGTAAACACTTGATTCAGTAACTATTTTAGAGTTAATGGCACAACAAGAAGTAACCTGACCAACAGCTGATTCAGTTAATTTAAAATATTATATATTCAAAGGTGACGATTTGCTGCCCACATTAAAAGGATTTACTGATTATAACAAAGATTCCTTCAAGAAACCTCCCAATATAAATCATAAAACCATAATGACTTCTGCTCATTCCACATTTGTCAAATGGCCTATGTCTCCTAAAGTGAAGAAGAATCATTTGAAAATAATAAATAAGATACATCCTGTAGCCATGTTTCTTGAAAGATTTAAATTTGATGTTGGTTAGTGCGCCTTTTGTAAATCAGAAGATGAATCCCTCGAGCAATTTTTTTTTCATGTCAATACAAAGTGTTTGGTCAGACATCAGAAACTGGATTAATCTCAAATTTAATATTCCTTCTTTTGATGCTGATGTCATTTTACTTTATATGGATAACTTAAGCTCAGCTTTCTCTGATGCCATAAATATAGTCGTACTTATAACAAAGTACAACATTCACTGTAGTAAGAGGAGGGATAATAAGCCCTCCTTCCTGTTTTATGAACAATTTTAAGTCATAATATTCTTCATTAAGTAGATTAAAAAAACTGCACAAGTAAAAACTTATTATTTTAATTAAAACAATATGTTTGTCAAATAGTTGCACTCCTTTGTTTTTATTTATTTAATGTTTTATGTATATTTTTGTCACTTTCGTTATTTTGTGAAATGTAGTTATGACACCCTTCACGAGTTTGTATTTGTATATTGTTGCATTGTTCTGTTTTGTGTTTTGTGAGAAAAAAAAAACCTGATGGGCTTGTCAGCAGGTAAGTGGCGTTTACCTTCGGGAGAAATTGCGGTCGTCGATTGGTCAGTTGCTGACACGCCTATTGGATTGATTGACAGGAGCGCCGTGGAGGATTGAAACAAACAAACCAAAAAAAACCCACGAGAGCCGTAGCAGCCGCGCTGGGAGGAGGCAGGGCGGCCCAAATGTAGCGAAAGTGCAGCAGTCTCTCTGCAGCGCAGGACTCCACGTAAAGCAGGAGATAACCAGATAGTTTGCTTGTGCCCTCACTGCCCTGGGCCCCTTAGAGATCGTGGGTCCCTGGACACTTGCCCAGTTGGTTAATGGTTATGGTTAATCCGGCCTTCACTAAAACCACTAAAGTCGTCTTCTTCAGTGTCAGAATTGAACAGCCTCAGAAAAACTTCACACACGTCCTCAGTCTCTCTTTCGTTGTTGGAAACATACATCATCTTACCAGGAAGTCATTGTTTGCCATTGTAAGCAGAACGACGGCTCAGTGGTTAGCACTGTTGCCTCACAGCAAGAAGGTCCTGGGTTCAATCCCTGGTTGGTCCTGGGGTCTTTCTGTGTGGAGTGTGCATGTTCTTCTCGTGCATGCGTGGGTTTTCTCCGGGTACTCCGGTTTCCTCCCACAGAACAAAAACATGCATGTTAGGCTGCCTTCAGGCGTCCCTTGCAAAAGAGATCTGTGATCTCAATAGTTATGTTTACATGCGCAACATTTTTTGACCTGATTGAAATGTGTTCAGATTAAATAATTCAAATGTATCGTTTACATGGGCACAATCTGTTCATGACGAGTGTTTACGTGCAGCGAGCTTTGTTCTGAACAGAAATACTAACATGCGCAGAGTGGTAAACTCTCCTTAAAACAACACAGAAGAGGAATTTCTACTTCCGGTTTACTTCCGGGATGCTGAGCACCCTAAATGGACCCGTGACAGGTTTTAATGATGGTGGAGACGTTGCTGCACTCCCTGACTGAGCTACAGGTAATACAGATCATTTTGAGCTCTTTCAAAGTTTCTAGTAGAAATGTTGTCGCTCACCGACCAGTTTTGCTTCCCCGACATGCTAATATTATTAGCATTAGCCAGGCGGAAATGACATAGGTCGCACATGCGCAGTCAGGTCAGTTTTTCACCATCAGATAAAAACGAACAGATCAAGCGTTTACATGTGCACCGTTCGGGTTATGAATCGGCGCAAACCACCCGTTTTGTTCTGAACATAAATTATTACGGATCTCGCTAAATAAACAAAAAATAACCCGAACAGGGTGTTTACATGACGCATTTTTATTCCGAACGGCCGTTTGATCCGATTACTTATGTCCATGTAAACATAGCTACTAGGATTTGCCTGGTTAAATAAAGGTTAATACATAAATATTTATAAAAAGTTGGGCCTGTGATTGGAAGATCGTTGGTTCAACTCCCGGTACCGACAACATCAAAATGTGGGTGGAAAAGGTGAAACACCAGCCTCCACCCTGATTTGCCCCACTCTGGGCCCTTGAGCAAGGCCCTTAACCCCCACTATCTGCTCCCCCGGGCACCCTAGATGTCATCTCTCTGCTCCACACAGAGGGCTGTGGCAGCTCGGTGCTCTGTGGCTGCGTCAGGAAGGGCATCCAATATAAAAACCGTTACCAAGTCTTCATGCGAGTTAGGTTGCTGTGGCGACCCCTGAAGGAAAAAATAATACAAGTAGTCTCAATAGCTATGTTTACATGCGCAGAATTCTCTGACCAGATTGAAATGTGTTCTGTTTGAATAATTCAAATGTGTTGTTTACATGGGCACAATCTGTTCATGATGAGCGTTTACATGCAGCGGGCTTTGTTCTGAACAGCAGTACTGACATGCGCAGTGTGGTAAACTCTCCTTAAAAAAACCACCGAAGAAGAAGTTCTACTTCCGGGTGAACGTAAACAAACCTGAGCACCCAAAATGGACCCGCGACATGGTTTTAATGATGTTGGAGACGTTATTGCACTCCCTGACTGAGCTACAGGTAATAGAAATCATTTTGAGCTCTTTAAAAGTTTCTAGTAGAAATGTTGTCGCTCACCGACCAGTTTTACTTCCCTGACATGCTAATATTATTAGCGTTAGCCAGGCGGAAATGGCAAAGTCGCACATGCGCAGTCAGGTCAGTTTTTCACCATCAGATAAAAATGAACAGATCAAGCGTTTACATGCGCACCGATCGGGTTTCGGATCGGCGTAAACCACCCGTTTTGTTCTGATCAGAAATTATAACGGATCACGCCGAATACACAAAAAATAACCCGAACGGAGCGTTTACATGACACACTTTTATTCCGACCGGCCATTTGATCCGGTTACTTATGTCCATGTAAACATACCAACTGAGTCACGAGGACCCACCCTCGTCAAAAGAGATGTGTACTGGGCAGCTATGTGAGCACCCGGGTGTGACCAAGCTAAATGTTTTGGTGGCAGGAAGCTCATTAGCCCATCCAAAAAAAAACAACAGCTGCAGCATTGTAAAAGCCGCAGGGTTCAAAGTGTAAGTGTTCAAAAGTAGTGGCTTATAGACCGGAAATTACGGTATGTTATTTACATAAAAAACGACTCCAAATGCAGTGTTGTGCAAGTTCTCCCTTCACAAGAACTAACTCCAAATTCACTTCACACAGATCACACCTTTATTCATTCTTGTTCTTAATTCAGACGTTCAAATATCTGAACTTGTTTCACTTTCCCCACATAAACTAATACACATCCTTTAAGTTTTAAGAAGATGAAGTTAAAAAAACAAAACAATGATAGGTTGTTGGTAAATGATGGGGTATGACATCACAAATATTTTAGCAGGAAACTTAATCATTGTGTTGCATCTGAACTCCAGTGTTTGCCTTTTATTGTACAAAATTCACAACAAACTGTTGATATTGACCTATTTTGTTCTGTTTTGATGTTCGAGAGGAAAAATTGACTGAAAATATGATTAATGAGCAGCCTAACACACCTACTCTTCTAAATGTACTGTTAATAACTATCGGACAACACTTCACTTCAAAAATGACCAGAATGCTACTTTAAGACATCACCAATCTTACTAATGTCTTAGCTATTACATTACTGTCATTTTTACTTTGTGCCGTTATTCTGGCAGAAATATTTATACATACTTGCTGGAGGTGCGCCAGGTGGCACCAGAAGTGATACAGCTAGCTGCTACTGTCATTATTTGCACTTGCTACTATAAAGAAGCAGGAGCTTCTTCGACCTGTCTCCGGTAAAGCGACTTGTTTTTACTGTTGCTCTCCTCGAGACGCTGCAGCGTTTCCTTCCAGACATCG